TAATTTATAGTTTTGCCAACCTAAGGGTATGTTTGATTTATATCAGTTGGTGGAGGTGGTAGCTAGTGAGGAATGAGGGAATGAAGATGGTACAAGCACAAAAGAAGCTCTAGAGAAATGGGTGGGAGATGAATAGGGATCACACTAGCTATATATATATACTAACTAATCTAATTGTTTGTATGCTTAATGCAGTACCTCAACTACTCATCACATCTTTCTTTTGCTCAACTTGTTTTTTGTATCATATCTCAATATATCCTATATCATTTTATGTTCTTTTTGGTATGTCCACTTATTTGATCAATCTCCACTTCTTTAATAAAAAACAACTTTAGTCTAAAGCCAAATAATGGGATTAATCAAGTTAGTTCATAATTTATATAGGACCCCACATCAATGGATCAATTGCCTAAGCCATGATGTCATTTAAATTACTAACCCTTATCTGATCAAACCAGCAGCCAGCCTCTTTCACGCCCACCATCACTGAACAATCTGATGCCCACTTTAATACATATATATATACACACACATTCATGTAGTTGCATACCCTTTCTTTGAAAACATCAACTACTTGTTGTTTTCCATCTTGGTTTTCAACACTGCCCCACCTTACCCGTTTTTCAACTGTTATTTGTTAATCATATGTCATGATTGAGAAATATTTATGCTGCATGTACTAGCACATCAAGGAATTGGTTGAATTGGTGATCCAGGGGTGACTCTTTCAAGCTCCTAGGTTACAGACTTACAGGGTGGTTCTCCTAGTTTTCCTTTCACCACATTCTCTTGGGCATCTTTCACATTGAAGTGTAGGCACTAATAGGGGGAGGGGGAGGGGTGCTTAAATCCGTCATTTGGCTGTGATCTAAAGAGAAAGAGAATAGGATTCTTTGATTATTTTTTTTATCAGCTTTGCGAATGTAGTACAAGCCGACATCTGCAGAGTGTAAAGTATTTTTATCTCACACACATGTGCACTAAAGTGACAATTGACAAAAATATTATGCATACAAGGTTATCTTTATGACCAGCATCTGCATTACTGCATATATATATACAATAAAATTTGAAACCCTCTAGCTCCAGCAGCAGCAGAGAAGGAATATGGAATTTTTTATTCACTTTATGTATTTGTAATTGATAATATGAAATTATTATTATTAGCTTTGCTAGCTAGTAGTTCAATCATGAAGAATGGCCCAAGATCATCTTCTCTTTTTTATTTGTTGTTGAGATTTGAGAATTGTGTGTAATGGGCTTGATGATATATGTAGAAAGATAAAGAGATAGAAAGATGCATGGCCAATTCACTTCGTTGATGAATGATGACATGCTGCCATACCAATGCCAAT